TTTTTTTTTTGAGACAGGGTCTTGCTCTGTCACCCAGGCTGGAGGGAGGGCAGTGGCACAATCACAGCTCACTATAGGCCCGAGCTCCCAGACTTAATCAATCCTCCCACCTCAGCCTCCTGAGGTGCTGGGATTACAGGCGTGCCTGGCCATGGCCAGCTAACTTTTTATTTTTTCTTTAGAGACAGAGTTTTGCCATGTTGCCCAGGCTGGTCTTGAACTCCTGGGCTCAAATGATCCTCTACCTCACCCTACCAAAGTGCTGGGATTACAGGTGTAAGCCAGCATGCCTGGCCCAAACTCACTTTAATAACAAACACATTCTCACAGTAATAACGTTAATCCATTCAGGAGGGCAGAGCCCTTGTGGCTTGCTCACATCTGGTTAGGCTCCACATCCCAACACTGTTGCACTGGGAATTAAGTTCCCAACACACAAACTTCATGGGATGCATTCAGATCATAACAGTGACTGAAATACGATTTCAGCCTGCTGAAAGACTACCTGACATTAACACCAATGATTTCTTTGAAAAGAATTCTAGACCGTGGGCTGTGCCAGTGCTCCTAGGCATCCATTATTTAATAAGCTCCTTGTTATTGCCACAAGTTGTGTGTTAGGCAGTGATTGTTCAGTAGGGAGCAAACTTTAATAGGTGCAGACTGGAACTCTGCAGTGAAGAAAGACAAGAGACCATGTAGACCTTATGTAATGCGGTGACTCTTGATCTCTGTCATGGTTCCAGACATCTCGACAGCTATCTCCTGCAGCTGTGCGTGTTCTCTACCTCCGAGGTTCCAACTGGCACTGTGGGTTGGCAGTGGGAAGAAGTGAATGCGGATAATGAGGATAGTCCCAGGAAATAAACAGCCTGTTTTCTTTTCTTTTTTTTTTTTTTTAATAAAATGGTTTATTTTTCTAAAACAAACTAATCAAGACTCAGTAAGTGTTTAGTTATATAATTCAGAACAATATAAGAAATTCTTGGTCCAACATGAGAATTTGCAAACCCAATCCACTCCCTTTAGAGTCTTTTCTCCAGCATAAAAGATAAATGCATACCACCATATCCCTTCTGCTGGAGTGACTCTCCACTCCTGACCTCCTCTTTCTGAAGGCTCACCCAGGATGACACAAAAGCACCACTCAAGAATAGTTTCAGACACAATGAAATCTGACTTCTTGTTCAGAAAAGAAATATTCTCCTAAAAGTTACAATCCACAGAAATGTATCTCCATCCTCAATGGAGACAAATTTTCATAGTTAACTCCTCAGTCTTTCTAACCACAGGTGCCTTCTTCATCCCCTACCTCATCTTCCTCTTTATGTCATTCCTCTCTTCCTTCTGGACACAGCACTAGGCCAGTACACTAGCCAGGGAGGTATCACAGCCTGGAGGAAGATCTGCCCCATTTTTGAGGGTGAATAGCTCTGTGCCTGATTCCACGGCATCTTCATTAGTGGTTATAAACCTTTCTGGAATGACTGGAGTAATGCAGCAGCAGTTCCGAGGTTAGGATAAGATCATAAGTCTCTATGTTAAACCCTTGGTTTGTGTGGGCTGCATACTGAGCTAGTCAGCTGGTCCATCAGAGAATGGGGAAGAAACAGCAGTAAGCATGGGGCAAAGGGTTTAGGTTAGTTAAGTAGAGTGCAAAGCTGCTTTATCTATATGGTTTAGATACATAACAATGTCTTTGTATTTTAAGACACATTTAAATCAATTATAAAGCATTTTAAAAGATAACTTTAAATGAGGAAAAATTATTTCATTAATAATTCTATCTCGGCCAGGTGGGGTGACTCATGCGTGTAATCCCAGAACTTTTGGAGGTTGAGGCTGCTGATCACCTGAGGTCAGGAGTTCGAGACCAGCCTGACTTACATGGTGAAACCACTCTCTACTAAAAATACAAAAAAATAGCTGGGTGTGGTGGTGGGTGCCTGTAATCTCAGCTACTTAGGAGGCTGAGGCAGAAGAATTGCTTGAACCCGGGAGGCAGAGTTGCAGTGAGCTGAGATCACGCCACTGCACTCCAGCCTGGACAATGAGGGAAAGTCCATCTCAAAATAAATAAATAAAAGTTGTATCTTGACACAAGTATTTAAAATTCGCAGTGTTTAATTTCATTATTTTTCCATATGTAGGATTTTCTTTACATTTTTATTTTGAAATAATTGTAGATTCACAGGAAGTTACAAAAATAGTTGTTTTCCTCAATGGTAAATTAACTCCCAGCCTCAGACAACCCTCCCACCTCAGTGTCCCACTATAGCTGGGATTGTAGGCATGCGCCACCACTGTCCACTGTCCCTAGCCCAATTCTGCAGTTTCCCCGAAGGCATTGACTATGCCCCCCCAGATGATCGTCATTGTCCTCAACGTCTGCTACATCATTGTGCTGGCCTGGGCCCTTTTCTACATCTTCAGCAGCTTCACCATCAACCTGCCCTGGGGCAACTGCCACCATGAGTGGAACACAGGTATGGTCATCACCTGAGGGTCCACTCCTCTTCCTGTTCTGTCACATTACCTGGAAGTGGGATTGTCCCTATATCCCACCTTAACACAGACACACCAGAAATCACCCACGTAGATCATGGAGAGCTTACCTCAAGAATGAGATCAAGAATTCACCAGCCTCACAGCAAAATGTCATGAACTTCTTAAAGAAAAAATTATGTATTCAATTAATGTATTATGCAACTGGAACTGACCACCTTTTTATGTCATTTAGCCATTTACTTAAAACAATTTGAAATATGGTTAGTTTAATATATCGATATATTTTTGTTCAGTCATTTGTTGTCTTCTTTCTGATACCATTTTAGGCCTTTCAACTTAGAATTCATCTGGACTTGCTTGTCAGGGGCAGCAGAGGTGGGAGAAAAGCCATGTATAAGTGGACCCACACAATTCAGATCCATGTTGTTCAAGGGTCTGCTGTGATTTATAATAGCAATTACAGTCATGTGCCACTTAATGATGGGTACACACTGAGAAATGCATTGTTGGCAGTGTCCTTGTATGAACATCACAGAGTGCACTTACACAGACGTAGATGGCACGGCCTGCCACACACCTGGGCTGTGTGCTGTAACACCGTACTGAATACTGGAGGTACTTGTGGCACAATGGCAAGTATTTGTGTATCTAAACATAACGAAACATAGAAAAGGTACAGTAAAGATGCAGTATTTTAGAATCATGTGGGAACACTGTCATACATGTGATCCCCTGTTGACTGAAATGTGGGCATGTGCTGCTTATCTGCAATTTCTCCTGTGCTTATAAGACTGCCTGAGCCACCCATGGCAATAGTACTCCTGAGTCTAATGTACAGAAAGCAACAACATCTAGGGCAATGCTGTCCAAAAGAACTTTCTGTAATGATGAAAATGTTCTTTGCACCATTCAATATGGTAGCTATTCATACTAGCTACATGTGGATATTTATTTATTTACTTTTTATAGGCAGTCCCACTGAGCCAGTGTAGGTTTGGAGTGACTCTTGCATGTGGTTACTGAGCACCTGAAATGTGGCAAGTGGTCTGATGAACAGAACCTTAACATTTACATTGAGTGTTAACTGGAACAGCCACAGGTGGCTCGTGGCTGCCCTACTGGAAGGGTTGGCTGGAGAGCAGAGTGGACACGGTTCTGCCTGGATTCTTGGCACATCCCGCTCTCCTTGTCCAAGTATCTTCCAGTGCCAGTCAATAAGGCCCTACCCCTTTGAAGTGGGCTAATCATGATTGATTCTTTCTTGCTCAGATGAGTTACTCAATTCTGAAGTGGAGTTTGAATCCTTTACTTGCCAGGAAAAGCATTTTTGCATGGCTAGTGTGGTATTCTTTATCCTTCATGACCTGGCTCCTGTCTGCATCATCACTTCACCATCAGCTCCATTGCCTTGTACTCTATGCTCCCCTTCCAGGCACTTCTGTATGCATCACTGCCACTACCTCCATTCCACCATTATTTTTCAAAGGGAAAGTAAACCTTGGGGGTACCTCCTCTGAACCCCAAGATTGCATTAGGTTCTTTAATGTGTCTGGTGGCACCTGCACTGGCTCAGCCCTGCCGCGCCACTTCCCTCACTTTCTGTCTGTCTGTTGACTTGATTTCCCACTAGTCAGCAAGATCTTGAGGGCAGGAAAGGTGTCTTGATCTCCTTAGCCTTTGTGCCTAGCACAGTGCTGGCTCTATCATAAGCACTCAAAGATATTTATTGAATGAATCAAGATTTAAAGATCTGTTTTATAATAATTCGTCTGGGCACACTGGCTCACGCCTGTAATCCCTGCACTTTGGGAGGCTGAAGCTGGTGGGTTGCTTGAGCTCAGGACTTTGAGACCAGCTTAGGCAAGATAGTGAAACTCCCATCTCTACCGAAAATAAAAAATTTGTGAGGGGTGGTGGTGCATGCCTCTGGCCCTAGCTACTTGGGAGGCTGAGACAGGAGGATTGCTTGATTCTGGGAGATGGAGGTTGCAGTGAGCCAAGATTATGCCACTACACTCAAGCCTGGGTAATAGAGAAACATTTGTCTCCAAAAAATCTGTTTTATTATAATTCTTTAGCTATACACACACACACACACACACACACACACACACACACACACACACACACACGCATGTTTATGGCTATACATTTATTACAATGTATTATTCTTTATATTCCTTTATAATGTATTATAATTATCTATCTATATATATATTCAGTAAACATAGGTATTTAAAAAAATAAGGAAGAATACCTGTATTATAATTCTTTAGGTATATATGTAGCTAAAGAATTTATTTATATACATTTATTATAACTTATATGTACATTATAATTTAGCTATATATATTTATATATAGCTGTATTCTTTAGCTGTATTTAGCTATATTCCTTAGCCATATATATATATATATAGCTAAAGAATTATAATAAATGTATTCTTCCTATATTAAATATCTCCGTTTACTGAACCCACCCTTGGCTACTAGCTTGTCAGTTAGTAAAGGTTTTATTCAGATCTCAGGGAGGTTCCTCTTGGAATAATGTTTTCAAGTCCTGGTGGTCCAGAGCCTTCTCTTCAGGGCATTATTAGGCCTGCCTTCCTCTGGATCGACTGGGAGTTCCTGGGACAATCCTGGGGCTGATTGAATACCTGAGTCTTAGGTTTTAGCATTGCTGACATCTCTCCTAGTGAGCCTGGTTTTACTCAGAGCCTAGCATTTGAATCACACAAGACACGCTGTCCTGCCAAGATGAGATAATGCTTTTCTGGGTGTGCTGCAGCGTCAAGGCAAGTAAGTGGTTTAGTGGAGAGAGCACCCAGCTAGCCTTCAGTCACCCAACAGATACTTGTTGAGCTCCTGCTACAGTATATGCCAGGCTCTGTTCCAAGCACCGAGAATATGGTAATAAACAAAAACAAAGACCCACCCTCCTGGGGCTTTCATTTCAGTGATGGGAGGTAGACATGAAACGAGTGGATGCGAAATGTCCCTTTACAAAGCAGCAGTACATGCCATGTTAGAAGGCCGGCTACAGAGGAAAATAAAACAGCGACTGTGAGTTTTATGGGTGGGGGTGCAATTTTAAGTTACATGATCAGGAAAGGCCTTACTGAGATGCCCCTTGAGTAATGGTCTGTAGAAGGAGGGGGAATGAACCATTGAGCTGGGGGACGAGAACTCTAGGAAGAAGGTGTTGAGGTAGCACTGCACCTGACACACCCAACGCGTGCAGGGAACAGGGTGGGTGTGTTGGAGCAGGTGGCTGCAGGGAATAGGATGGGAATGGATCCAGCAGGGCCTTGGAGGTTATGAAAGGGTTGCAGAATTTTTCTTCTAGTGGGATTGGAAACCCATTGGAAGCTTTTAGCTGGAGTGTGACCTAGAGTGATCTAAGGTTTAACAACATCACCCCTGCTGCTGTATGGAGATTTCACAAGGGGAGCAATGGTGGAATCTGAAGGGCAGGTAGGAGCCGGAAGCTGATGGTGCCTGCCCTGTACCAGGGTGGTGGTAGTGGAGGTGACAAGAAGCATCAGTCTAGAAATTTTGAAGGCGGAACCTAGACAATTTGCTGACTGGGTTCCAGCCTACACTTGTCATTCACAAGCAGATACAGGCCATTTCTAAGAAGAACCACTTTCTTCATGGGTACAATGGGGGAAACAGTATCTGTCTTAATATTTCCCAGGATTATTGTATTGTATCAGTACTCTGTAAAACTCCAGAGTCACATACAAATAACGAGGAGCACCGTGTATTGAGCACTCTACCTCTGTGTTTTCATTTAATTTCTCATCAGTCCCACATAATGCATCTTCTACATTTTAGAGATGAGGACAGCAAAAACACGGAGAGCTGAGTTATAACTTACCCACGACCACACAGTTCATACCCAGGGGACCAGCATTCAAGCCAGAGCTTTCTAGCCTGTGCTCTTAGCCACTCTGATACATCACTTTCCTAGAAGGTATTCTTAACTATTTCTTGAAGGCAGTGACTTTGCACAGGGTGCTTACCTAGAAATGTTAGCAATGCTTTGAAACAGCTGGCCTGGTGAGTATTTCTTCTGCTGCCAACTAATCATGCCTGAGGAGAATATATACCAAGCATCTATGCACCCACATGTCCAAGTGTGTGGGAGAGCATGAGCTGTGTTTGTCGAGGTGATTATGTGTGGGAAGATGTTTTGTACAGATAACTTCAGCCCGGCTCCTGCCAAAGACCTTCCTTCCCATCCTCCTAGAATTTCACCCCACTCTCTAGTTGAGTCATATGCTGGCTGATGATTTTTCTCTTTCTTTCCTCCTTGTAACTCAACGGGTAGAACACTGTGTGGAGTTCCAGAAGACCAACGGCTCCCTGCACTCCAGCCTGGGCAACAGGGCAAGACTGAGAAGAAATAAAAGAAAGGAAGGGAGGGAGGTGGGAGGGAGGGAGGGAGGAAAGAAGGAGGGAAGGAAGGAAGGAAACGAAAGAGAGAAGAAAGAAAAAGAGGAAGGAAGGGAAGAGAAGGGAAAGGAAGAAGGAAAGAGAAAGAAGCCAGGCGTGGTGGTTCACACCTGTAATCCCAGCACTTTGGGAGGCTGAGGCAGGTGGATCACAAGGTCGGGAGTTGGAGACCAGCTTGGCCAACATAGTGAAACCCCGTCTCTACAAAAAATTAGCCAGGTGTGGTGGCAGGCACCTGTAATTCCAGTTACTTTGGAGGCTGAGGCAGGAGAATCGCTTGAACCTGGGAAGTGGAGATTGTAGTGAGCCAAGATCACACCATTGCACTGCAGCCTAGGCGACAGTGCAAGACTCCATCTCCAAAAAGAGAAAGAACAAGAGAAAGAGAAAGGAGTTTGAGACCATCCTGGCCAACATGGTGAAAATCCATCTCTACTAAAAATACAAAAAATTAGCCAGGTGTGGTTGCATGTGCCTGTAAACCCAGCTACTTGCGAGGCTGAGGCAGGAGAGTCACATGAACCCAGGAGGCAGAGGTTGAGGTGAGTGGAGATTGCACCATTGCACTCCAGCCTGGGCAACAGAGTGAAACTCCATCTCAAAAAAAAAAAAAAGGAAGAAAAGAAAAACGGGGGTCAAGAAGGATCAGACCACTCACCTACTCACTTCCTGTCCTTCTCGATGGGAAAGTTGAGGGCATGCAAGGCACTCTTGCAGGAATGCTTGTATCAAAGACCCCAAACATGGCAACAGAGGCCCAAGGCTGGCTGGAGTGCCAGGTCTTGGGGGCTGCATGCTCCCCGCCCTCCCATCCATTCTCTGCTTCCCCCATTCCCCACAGTTGAGACTACTCCCTCCTGGGCAAGAGTCTGCTCATTCCCCCTGACACCTGGCTTCCCCTGAACTCGCCCCTGAGAGTCACCTTTCACACATTTATCATTTGCTCAAAAAGCCCACTCAGCACCCAGGCTGTGCCTGATGCCACAGCAAAATGGAGCCCTGACTTCAAGAGGCAAGCCCAGCACACCTCCAACGAGGCACTTAAAAAGTAAATTGTGGTGGGAGAATTAAATGTTGCTGTTGTCGTTGTTCTGAGATGGGCTTGCTCTGTCACCTGGGCTGCAGTGCGTGAGGCACTGGGCTCAAGCAGTCCTCCCACTCCGCCTCCTGAGTCTTGAGTGCCACCACACTCCATTGACTTTTAAATGTTTTGTAGAGGTGGGGTGTCCTTGTGTTGCCCAGGCTGGTCTCCAACTCCTGGGCTTAAGTGGTCCTCCTGTCCTGGCCTCCCAAAGTGCTGGCAGTTTAGATGTGAGCCACTGCACCCGGCCAGTGTTAAGTTGAACTATTTGATTGCTGCACAGCCTAAAACATAATCGTTCTACTAAGACACGTTGGACTGTATTAGAGGGCATGATGCAAAAGTCATGAAGTTCAACAACTAGCCTCAGTGGGTCACAGACTTCTGTTCTCTTCTGCCTGCAGTCCCACAGGGATCCACTCTGGCCTGGAGCGAAATCTGGTTTTCCCAAGACGGCAACTCCCCAGCCTCAGTGCAGAATGACAGCCTCCTCTTGGTCCAGGAGTGCTTGTCCTGAAGCCTGCTGAAAGGCAGAAGCTGGGAGCCACCGGTGCAGCTCCTGGGCAGCTGACAGAGCCTCCCTCACTGTTGGGGCGGCAGCAAGGACACCAGCCATTAATCACTCTTCCCTCCATTTTGTCAAACCCGGCAATCTCCTGAAGATGTCACATAAACACAATTAACCTTTAAAGGGCTGGGTGGCTGCCCAAGGGAGGGAGAGCTCAAAGTCCTCACCCTGGGGGTGAGTCCCCTTCCCTCCTCTGCTCTCAGACCCTCCTGGTGACAGGAGGAGGGAGTTTAAAACAAGAAGGAAAGGCTCCAGGTAACCCTCGCTCCATTTGTTAAGCTGACAGAGCTCCGGCCACTAAGAATCCAGGGGAGGTCTCCCAAGGAGGATGAGGATGGAGGAGAGATGTCAGCAGGTGTGGCTGCACCTGTCTGTCATAGTTTCCCTGGCAGCCTCAGCCACTGTGCCCCCTGAGGATGGGGCCCTTCCTGCCCACAGGAGCCAGAAGCAGTGAGGGTCCCAGGCTGGGGGCAGGGGGCTCTGTCTGGGCCCTGACACCAGGGAGTCGGCTTGGCTGGAGGAGGGTCCCCCACCACCCCTTCCCTTTGCCTCCCTCCTACATTCATTCATTCAACAAAGTCAAGAGCCACCTCCATGTTCCAGGCATGGCACTGGGGATCGAGGATGAAAGGAGAAAGAAAAGACTGTCTGATCCCAGGGGACTCCTGGTGAATGCAGGGTGGGGAGCAGACTTGCAAGACATTATTTCCGTAGGACAAATGTAAATTGCAGGATGGGTAGTAAGGAGGCGCTGTGGAGCCCTGCGAGGGGAACAGAGGTCCAGTGCTGGAAAGGTGACTGTCAGAGATGGGCAGCTCAGCAGAGGTGATGTTTAACCTTGGTCTTACAGTATGAGTAAGAGTTCTCCGAGCAGACAGAAGGAGCTTGAATGTACTGGCTAGGACCTCGGTGGTGAGGACGTGGAGGCTAAGGCTTGGAGGGTCAGTGAGGGTGACCCCTGGAGGGTCAGCAAGGCCAGCCTCTAGCAACATGGCCACACAGTCGATCTGGGCTCTGATGTGGATGCGTTAACTGCCGCTGGCAGCTGGCTCCAGGACACCTCAGCTGCAAAGAGCACTGCCCACAGCAACACCCACCTCTGAGGGGCCACAGCAAAAGGCCTGTGCTGGAGAGAGACCAGGGCTGGTCGCCCCAGCCCACTCAGGACAGCTCTGAGGGCTTCCCTGGCCAGTCTCTCCTGCAGCCACTCCAGCTTCCTCCTCCACTGTTCTTCAATAACCATCTTGCAGACTCAGCCTGCTGCCCTGGAAACCAAACCTGTAACACACAGAGGGTGACAGCAAAGCTGTAATTTAGAAACCAATGGGCAGTATACTAGATCAGAAATAAAAGCTCCCCATCAGCTGGAAACCCAGACTCATTCCAGTT